TTACGACGTAATGGGAAATTCACAGAGAAACTCGCGGATTCTTCCACTGACCGCTGCGGCACACCTGCACCAGGGCAAACCTCCGCCTACCGCACTCCTGCTTTACAGGTGAAAATAGAGCAACAGGACCGCTAGTCTTTGATGTTATTTATTTTCTGCTGCGTTTTACTTACATCTATTTGAAGGAGCGAGCGTAAACACAAAAAGGTATTTTACTTTATGTGTTGGAATGTGCAGAAAATAGGTTTAAATGTTAAACTAATTTCTTCCAGTCAGAGAATGTTGCATATAATTACATTTTTTAAAAGATTAAAACAAATAAAACAAGTTTTAAAAAGAGACTTTTCCATTTTATTACACTTTATATGATGGATTATGCAGAAAAAGTAGAATTGGGCTGAAAGATCTATTGCTTTATCACCTATTCAGGTTGTAAATCGTGTTTTTAAAAAGTAACTAAGTAACTAAGTAATTAATTACTTTTGAAAAAGTAATCAGTAAAGTAACGGCATTACTTTTTTGGGGAGTAATCAGTAATTAGTTACTGATTACTTTTTTCAAGTAACTTGATCAACACTGATCATGATTACTGTGATGTCCTCATTCTATCCTCAGTGACTAAGTAGATAAATCATAGAAACTAGTAACATTTGGGTCATTTGATTGTTTTCTCCAGAATACTGTAGGGTCTTTACCTGAATGTTCATTTAAATGAACTTGAATTGAAATGAATTGAGTTTACTGAGACTCCAGTAATTATTACATTTACTCACATAGTTAACAATTCAGAAAGTTATGTCCAATATGCTGGTGGTCCTCACCACTGCTGAATGCAAACACTTTCAAACCTTGACATTTTAGTGATGCCCTTCTCATATTTATAATGATCTCTCCTACTTCCAGTATGTTTACCTGGACACTATGACTGAAATTGTCACAAGATAATCAATGTATCTCAATTAGCTTCTGATGCAAATCTTGGAACCCTCCTAATTCAATCCAGCAGTTGTGCTGTAATACACCTAAAGAGGTTTTGTAAATGCTAGGACTACGTCCAGTCATTTACTGTAGATATCTAGGCAAGTGTGGGATTTAGTGCCCAAAATTACATTTTAGTTGTAGCGCTATAATAGTTCCAGAACCAATTTAAAAATGCTGTTTCATCCAACCAAATGGAGGTGAATTTTTTTTAACTTTAAATCTTTTTCAATTTTAAACCATTCTTTAATTTTAGTTCTTAAATTATAGTCATTAGATACTTAAATTGCATGGAGTTGAAAGCAGATCATTAAAACTGAACCTTCAAAAGGTAAGAATAGCAGTTGTAATACTGTTTTCACATTGGCATTTTTAAAGAAAGTTAGGCTTTTATTTGAATTCCTTAAATTTCACATTACAATAAGTTAACACTCCTCTAAACAAGGGCAATGGCTTGGGGGAGTATAAGGTTGCACAGCAGGTCTGACGGACTGCAGGGGGTAAATACAGGATAAAATCAAAGGTTTACACTCACACCTGCAATCTAATTGAGTTATTTAACACGTTCATGTGGTCATCTACTTCAAAAGAAACAATTGTAAATTATTTCACATGTTTTTTGTAGATGGCTAAAAAAAATGACTGTTTTCAAGCCTTCATGTTGCTTTGTACTTCAAAGATTTTAGTTTATTAAAAGGGGATAGCAAAATTTCACAGTTTGTCAGGGGGTCAGAAACAGATTTATTATAATTTGATGGTGTCACCTAGAGGCGAAAACCATGTCACTTTGAAGTTTGATTAAAGCATACAAGTTATCTATCTATACATAGCACAATCATCACTACTGCACATATTAACTTTGAATTTAAGCATTAACATAAAAATACATTTTCAGGGAAAAAAATCCTACTGAAGTGAATAATGTAAGAAAAAACTTTAAAAAATAAAATGTTGACTTGGTGTGTGACAGCTCATATGACTGACTGAGTTGTAAAAAATAAGTGAGTTTACTGTGGAAGAACTTGACTGGCCGACAATAGTAACCTGAACACCTTGGGGATGAATTAAAGCGCTGACTCTTTAAATATATGTATATGTATATATACACACATATATATACAGATAGATAGATAGATAGATAAAGAGAGAGAGAGGTAGATATATAGATATATAGATATGGTGTTCACAATGTGAATGTGCACACAGGCTTTATCTTGTGTGCAGAGGAAAGTATTTTAACTGTTATACATATTTCATTTGATAAATGAGAGACTATTAAGCTTTCTTTTATTTATGGCGGTGGGATGGCATGGTTGCACACAACATTTTCCTCTAGGAGATGAGGGGAGCAACAACAGTAAGAGCTAGGAAAAGAAAAAAAGATGAGAATTTTGTAACAATAATAATGATAGGCTTTTATTACAAATGACCAAGCATAAAGAGACTGCAATGCAACTGTAACAGCAAACAAAGATATCCTGAAAGGGAAGAGGTTAAATAAAAAAAAAATAGTTCTGCTGTCATCAAACCCAAACTGCTCACTAGCAGCACCACTGGTCTGAAGCACAGAAACTCAAAGCACACCACCACAGTTCTCCACTCTCAGGGCTTGTTCACACACAAACCGACCAAGTAGGCTTTATACTGTTTGTTTGCTGATTGCAGTGTGGGGCCAGGTGCACACTGGCTCCTCATGGAAAACACAGAACACACCCACACAACATGCAGGCCTGCTAGGGCTGTAGCACTCCCTCCCATAAGTACAAACTCAAGTTTGTTAATGTGGGTCCTGCAGTTGAAAAAAAAAAGATAGCAAAAACAAAGGGTTTAATGACTGAACTATCACAGTCGCAGCCAAGGGTACACTCTAAAATTCTCTCACCATACACGGTAGCTCCAGTTCACTGACCAGGCTCTGTAACCTATGAGTGTCAAGTAAGTGATCCATGTGAGTCCTGTCAGCTCTAGGAGCAGATGTCTGTGACACCAAGGAACATTAGCAGGCCTAGCTAAACCACTTGTTACACTTGTCCCCATTGGCTTCATTATACTGGCACGCTGTTGTGCATGGTGATTGTGGCTGCAGAGTGTAGGCTATGTCATGGAATGATGCAATATTAGGTGACAGCACTGGGCTGGCACATCCAGCATGGATTTTGTCAGCCTGCAAGAGTGCTGACCATCAGGCTGACACCCATGACTGACTGACAACCTTTAAAGCTGGTTTATAGCAAACGGCTGCCACTTGTGTTTTATTTATTTATTTATTTATTTATTAAACCTGCCGTGCCTGGCAGCGTTAGTGAGCAGAATCATGATTTGAATGCACTGTTGTGCCAAACACATTTGCTTTGCCAAGAGTAACTCTATAAACTCTCTATAAGCTTCTCTTGTTAGTCCTTTCTTTTCTTTTCTTTATGTATTGATTTTATTCTTCACATTAGTATACGTGCAGTTTAACAACGCCAGAGTTGACAGGTGGGGAGGGGCAGATTAGCGAAAAAGAAAATAGAGAGCAGAGAGATAAGGAAAAGAAGTGAAAAGGGAGGGAAAAAGAAAAGAAAGTGGAGGACATAGAAGAAAAGATAGAAATAAAGGATAAAGCACAAAGCCAGTAAGTGTAGCATGTGTAACAGAACACATTCAGAAAATAAACAGCACCTGAACAGTTTCCTCAGTGGATTGGTATTCATCAGCTTACAGAATGCACTTTGTCATGCATGTGAATCAATAAGGCCAGAGTCTTTATAAAGACTGGTTTGAGGAACAGCTGAGTCAAGCCAACATACAGCTTTACAGTGTGTACAGTTTCTATGAGTTTGTAAACCAGCCTATTCCTGTTCTTAAAGCCAAGACAGCCACACAGAGTTCCCGTGCTTATGCTGGCCGATAAAACCTCATCAGAACCAAATCTGTGAAGACAATTATCATACAGAAAAAAAATGTCTGTACAACTCAAGCAGGTATGGAAATAAAGTTCAGCCCACGTCTTTCACAATGTGACACACATACTAAATAAGCATGAAGATGACAGAAACAGAATCTGAACTTTCATGCAAAACCTCAGTAGCTCCTTGTATATTTTCTGTTTCCAAGCTCAATGTCACTTCTTGTCACCTCATACATATGTCCTACTTTAACTAATTACAACTCTTCTCTTCTCTTCTCTTCTCTTCTCTTCTCTTCTCTTCTCTTCTCTTCTCTTGTAGAAGCAAGAGGTAGAACCTGTAAACAAATATAAAGTTAATCCTTTTGGAGTTCAGTTCTTTTAAATGTGGACCCAAAGCACAGGGGTCTAAACCAGGACTCCCTTTCTTTGTTGGGAGCTGTACAATCTGACACTATGTACACTTAAACAGTGAAAAAGGAAGCTTA